AACACATGCAAATGTAACACATATATAAAATATTATTCAATGGATATATTTTTATGATTTGAAGATTATGAATTGTAAATACTTTTTTAGTGTCGTATTCTTTAATACAAATGTTAATAAACAAGGCAATTATAAATATTATAACATGTCTAAATCGTAATGATACTTGCAAATAATAAAAATTACACTATATTTTTTATTTTGTTGGTTATTTCAATAATAAGTTTAAAACAAATTTATATTTATGTTATCTTATAACGATAAAAATTTAAAATAAAAGTTGTTTAAACTTAATGATAACAGACATGTGCAATTTTATTAAATTAATTAATTTCTTAGTATGGCTGAAGAATCTGGATGTGGTGAATTACAACAATTAGTTCAAGAAGAAGAATGTGAGGAACCATTAAGTCACGGTGGAGAAGCTACACCACCTTCGACACCAGCAAGGTCTCTTCACCCAAGTAAAAATGATACACATAGTTCTCATGTATCGGTATGAATTGAGTATTAGTTATTTAATTTCCTTATTAAAGCATAAATAGTCAACAACACTATTCAAAGTTGTAAGAATGAAATGAAATTACAATTTTTAATAAATAACATTTAAAGATCAAAATATATTTTTTTTTAAGACTGAGTAAATAGGTAGTACTTAAATAAAATAATAATGAAGGTAAAATACCTTTTTTCAGCAACAAGTGCTATGGGAAACTAATGTACAAACATCACCAATTGTTAGTAAAGGGAGTTCTGGTCAAGCAACAAGTCAGGGATCTATGGCATCTAGCCGTGCTGTAAATCTTTCAAATAATGGCAATCAGTCTCGTTTAATTTATATGAATGAGAAGGAAAAGCAGAGACCAAATAAACCTGAACTATCAAAAGTTAATCGTCAACATAGAGGTAATTTTATATGTCATAGAGATATTTTTAAAATGCCATTTAAAGTAATTGTTATTAAACTCTGAGTGAAACGCTCTAGAAATATATGTATAACACACATTTATAACAATGTTTATTTTACTTATTTTACATAGTTTTCAGCTATATAGACTATTATTCATTCTTTAGTATGAACTTTAAATTATTTAATGAGTATTATAAAAAATTTTAATCTTTTAGTAATACAAGTATTTTTGTTTGAATTAATTTATATAAATTAGTTTTGCAAAT